TGTAACGTGCAAACTCGTCACAGTGGTAGCCAGGCTACTAGTAACAGCCAACTAGCTCAGTTATCCCGAAATGGTAGAGTGGCGTGAGTATTTGGATTTATTTTATAGGGCGCCAGAGGTAGAACCTCTCCAAATTGCATCACGTAGGATGTAGCACAGATTTTATTTAGGCAAGTAAAGTAATAACACATACAAAAGGCGAAAACATGCTGCTGGTCTAAATGGGTAATTCAAAGTACATAAATACACAAGTATAAAGGACAACTAGCATTATTCGACACAAAAGACTAGGGCACAAAAGCGCATTACAGTCGCTATCCAAATCAGCACCATAGCAAAAGAATCGATACAATAAGTTAGACTCCACAAATACACGCCTGATCGATAGGCAACCCATTGATCTCAAATTACGCCGGGAGGGTATGCAACCCCACTGGTCCGCGGACGATACGAGACAACAACTCAAAAGCGTTGGCTCTCATTAAGGGCTCTAGCTCTGGTCGCTCTCTGTAGCAGAGCCGGCGCCCTGACCGAGAAGAAGACGGAGAGGTGTGTGCTGTGTGTGTGTGTACCCGCTGCCCAGCCCCGTGCCCACTTTCCAATCGTATCCCGAACGCGTTTCCCGCAAACTACTTAAACTACATACATACGCATACGTGCGCGCAAGCCGGCCGGCCGGCCGCCGAGACACACTACTACCACCACCACCACCACCACCACCACCACCACCTCCCGGGCGAGGCGCCAGCTTGTGTGTGTGTGTGTGTGTGTGTGTGTGTGTGTGTGTGTGTGCGTGTGCGCGCGTGTGAGATTGACGCGGACTCGTACATCAAACGTGCAGGCAGCAGGGTCGTTCGCTGCTGTATGTGCCAGCCATGCCTAGAGGAGGGGCCCTCTCTCGCGCCTCGCTCGCGGTGTGGAAGTACGACGTGGTGTTGCCGGCCTCGCCCCGCCCCGCCTCACTGGAAGGCTTTCACCGGAGCAGGAGCGTGCCATCGCACGTTCGGCGAGTAGTACTCCCAGCACCGCCTACGGCAGCCAACCTGTCCGTTATCGAGCAGCCCATTCAAACTAGTGTAGTACAGTACGTATGAATGTCGGCACACTTGTGTCTTGCGTCGCAAATAACTCACCACGATTTTCTTTTTTGGGAGAAGCTACGACGCCAGACGTGACACTTGTCAGCTCGACCGCCCTTGTGGTGTGGCGCGGGTGGGAGGCTTAGACACCGCTGCCGCTGGTGGCGTACGGGGCAACGGTAAACGGAAGGATAGCAGGAGGTGCCATCGCACGGGCGGACCCAGCCGACCGCGGACGAGTCCTTCGAACAGGTCCTCGTCGACGACGGGGTGCTCCACTTACCTGGGAGGAGCTGGCGCCCCGCTCCCACGCGCCGTCAGGATGGGGAGAGGGGGGAGGGGAGAGAAGGGAGGAGAGGGCAGGGGAGAAGAGGGGTGGGAAGGAGAGGGGAGGGGAGGAGAGGAGAGACGTCCTGCGGCTCACTCACCAGCCTCATCCGGTCACTGGTCGCAGCGCATTAGGAAGGCATAGGCCGGGTACCGCCGGGTACGGCCGGGTGCCACCACAGCAGCAGCATATAGGCCCCCATTGTCCCGCGGGCCGCGCCCGGTGCGTGGCGTAGCGGTACGCCCCGGGGGCGGGGCGGGGCGGGGCGGGGCGG